ACACACAGTAATCCATACTGACACATACATTGATCCATACTGACACCCACACACACAGTAATCCATACTGACATATACATTGATCCATACATTGATCCATACTGATAGAAACATTGATCAGTATGGATCCATACATTGATCCATACTGACACCTACACACACACTAATCCATACTGACATATACATTGATCCATACATTGATCCATACTGACACAAACATTGATCCATACATTGATCCATACTGACACTCACACACAGTAATCCATACTGACACAGACATTGATCCATACTGATGCTCACACACAGTAATTCATACTGACACATACGTTGATATATACTGACACATTAACACACAGTAATCCATACTGACACATACATTGATCCATACTGACACAGACATTGATCCATACTGATGCTCACACACAGTAATTCATACTGACACATACGTTGATCCATACTGACACTCACACACACAGTAATCCATACTGACATATACATTGAACCATACTGATACATATATTGATCCATACTGACACTCAGACACAGTAATCCATACTGACCCAAACATTAATCCATCATGACACACACACACTAATCCATACTGACACACACACACACACACTAATCCATACTGACACACACATAATACCATCAAAAACACCTCCCACACACAATTAAACACTCAAATATACACACCAGGGCCAGATTAAGAGCCCAGTGGACCTGGTGCTGACAATTATGACGGGCCTAATTACAGAATCATATTGACCAAAAACAGTAAAACACTCCCAAGCGTCATGTATCTGATAAAGATGGTGCTGGAGAGAAAGAAAACAGCAGCTATAAGAAAAACACATACCCTAGGCTAATCTCTCTCTAATTTATGTTTTCATCTTTCAAGTAAATCCATAACCCCTAACAGCAGTGTACAGTCAAGCAGGAAGTCAATGGGCATGGTAAAAGGGTGTGCCATTGACACAAATCAGGTAACCTGCCAAAAGGGGCGAACATGCCCAAAATGAGGACATGTCTGCCCAAAGAATTAGAAGGCCAGCCTGGCATGAATGCATGTCAGGCTGCCTGCCAATCATGCAGCTGGCCAACTAAGGGCATACTATGCAGACAGCACCCTGAGCTTGGCATAAATGCATCTAATGATGCGCTCACTCAGCACTTTCTAAGGACTGTCCCCAGGCACTCGCTGGTCCACTTGTCTTCTTACCTTCTTACTAGCAGGCAGAAGCTCCTGGTATATAGTCTGGACAAGAGAAAAGCTGTATGTAGTGAGTGTAGAAGAAAGGGAACATGCCACAGTGTTAGAGAGACAATAGTCAGCATTACCTTAAAGGATCACTATAGGGTCAGGAACACAAACATGAATTCATGACCCTATAGTGTTAACCATCTAGCCCCCCTGGGCCCCTCATGCCTCCATAAATATAGCAAATCTTACTGTATTCAAGCCTGAAGCTGTAACTGCATGCTGTTTTCAGAAAAACAGGCAGTCTGCTAACATCATTAGAAGTGGTAGTCTGATCCAATCACAGTGTTTCCCCATATGATTCGCTGAGACTGACAAGGAGGCAGATCAGGGTCAGAGCCAGCATGATTCAAACACAGCCCTGGCCAATCAGCATCTCCTCATAGAGATGAATTGAATCAATGAATCTCTATGAGGAAAGTTCAGTGTCTGCATGCAGAGGGAGGAGACACTGAATGTTTGGATGCATTTTAGGCAGCCATGACCCAGGAAGGATCTCTAACAGCCATCTGAGGAGTGGCCAGTGAAGTTATCACTAGGCTGTAATGTAAAGACTGCATTTTCTCTGAAAAGACAGTGTTTACAGCAAAAAGCCTGAAGGTAATGATTCTACTCACCAGAACAAATTCAATAAGCTGTAGTTGTTCTGGTGACTCTAGTGTCCCTTTAACTATATTCATTGTCAGCCAGTCCACACAAGTTTTGTTCCCATCCATCCCTCTTAAGTTTCCATACTTAAATAAGAGTATGTGAAAAGTAGTTAGGGTTGCCACCTTTCTTGGAAAAACATACTGGCCTTGCTAATTTGCATAATTAAATATGTATGGGTGACATCACATGATGTAAATCACAAGGAGTGACATAAGAGAAAATGCTGTAAAATCACCAAAAACCACTTAGTTTGATTCTGCTGTATAGATTAATTCCTCCCAGAGGCCCCATGTCTTCCAGTATGTGTCGATTACTCCAGGTCTCAGTGTTCCTATGTATCAGTGTCTCAGTGCCACATGTCTCCCAGTGTCCCCTAGTGTCGTGTCCCCAGGTCTCTCAGTGATCCTATGTATCACAGTGTCTCAATGCCCCATGTCTCCCTGTGTCCCCATGTATCCCAGGGTCCCCATGTCACTAGGAAGACGGGAAGACCTGGGGACACGGGGAGACCTAGGGACACGGAGACACCAGTGACACTGGGAGACTAGGGGACTCTGGCTGGGACGCATGGGGACACTGGGAAAATAGGGGACACTTGAAGACATGGGGACACAGACACCAGGGACACAGACACTAGAGACACTGGCTGGGGGACATGGGGACATTGAGACATGGGGGTACTGGGAGACATGGGGACAAGGAGACACCAGGGCCACAGACACTAGGGACACTAGCTTGGAGACATGGGGACATTGAGACACTTGAGGCACTGGGAGACATGGAGGCACTAGGAGACATGGGGACAGTGAGACACTGGCAGACTGGGGGCACTGGGAGACTAGGGGGCACTGAGACACCAGGGACACTGGCTGGGAGACATGGGGACACTGGGAGACATGGGGACACTGTGTGAGTATAGATAGGCAGGGAGGGATATGCTGGAACCTCCTATCCCTGCCTCTCTCCACACACAGTGACCCCTACTGGCCAGTGCTGGTATTGCATAGTAATCTCTTGTTTATACTGAGAAAAATACCAGCATTTGTATTGCCAGTATCACTGCAATATTGGCACCAGCCAGGCAGCCTCAAATACTGGCTGTGCCAATAAAATAAAAGCCAGGTGGAATCCCTAAGAGTAGTGTGTGAAAAAATTTTTTTTTTTTTTAAATGAAATTTTTTTTTTTTTTTTAAATGAATCAATGGGCCTATTCCATGGGCCTGGGCCTGGAGCTGCAGCTCCATCAGCCCCTATGTTAATCCGGCCCTGATACACACACCCTAAGAATCTTGGAAATGAACATAAAATACCTGGGTGCCACTGCTTACTGAGCCCACCTTGCTCCTTGATCTGTGCTCAGCTCCTGGCTGAGAACCAGCCTGCCCGCAGCTCTGTCCGGCCCCCTGCTCACTCCTCTCCCTGCCTGCCAGCACTTTACACACAGGAAGCAAAACGTCACAGGACCCGCATGGGCTGCCCTGCTCTGCCTGATTACCAGGTCACATGCTTCCTGTGTGTGAAGGCTGTCAGGCAGGCACCAGGACAACTTCCCTCCCCTGCTCCTTATGCTTCACTCGCGAGAAGCATTGAAAGTTTACTTTGGAGTGCCTGCTGCTCAGAGTGCATAAAGCACAGTGCAGATCTAGAGTTGAGAGGAGACCATCACTCCTGAGCTCATCAAGCCCCCGACATGACTGTGTGTACTGGGTGAGGGGAGGAGAAGATTCTGCACTGTGTGGTCCCAAGTGCCCCGGCCCCTCAGGAAATTTCCCAGTATCCCGGTGGGCCAGTCCGGCCCTGCTAGTGAGGACCGGGATATCCCCCACCGGTCCAAAGGGTTGAGTGGACAGGGCTTTGTGCTTGCCGGTTGTAGCCCAAGGTTGGGAATCTGCCACCTTCCCCGTCTTCAGGTGCTACTGTAGACCGCAGATAAAGTAATTTTGCTGAGCTGGGTTAGCCAGTGACATGCAGAGCAGGGCTGAAAAGATTGGCAGAGTATTCCTCTGGGCTTAGACAAGTATTGCCCAGTAAACAGAACTATAAAGTCCAATTTAGGCTCAGTGTGAGCGTTTCCCTGAGGAGCTCCAGCACCCTGCCACTGTCTCGGTCAGCTGTCAGGCCCTGCCCCATTTACAGACAATAGGATTTTTAAATATATATTTTTTAATTTTTCAGTTGACACTAGGTTTTATTTGAGATGATTAATATGTCATTGAATTTGCATAGTTATTATTGGTTACTAATATGTGTTATTCTTATTCCTCATGCCTCCTTTTTTTCTTAAACTTTGTTTGCAATACTTGGTCTGGCTTCATTGTGGTCTCCATCTGGAACAAACCTATGGTGATTGGATTCACACCACACTTTAATACTTGAGGCTTCATCTTTTACTACATGAGATCCAACTGGCCACTCACCTCTCTCTTCAAACATGTCTCTGTTGCTCTTCATATTTTTTTCATTGTGGTGATTTTGATCTACCTGGCTGAGTTTTGCGGTGTCTTTTCCTTCTACAGGCATAGAGAGAAGCTCATAGGGCACGTTTTTTTCCACTGGTGCTACTGACGTTTTTTGTTTCCTTTTTTTTTGATAAATCCCCTATTCTGAACTTGAAATGACTCTTACTCCCCATTTTACATAGTACAAGATAGAAAAGGAAAATTATTACAATCTGTTATTCTAAAACTCTTTCAATTCTTATTTTTATTTCTTTATAGATATAGAATAATATAATTTTGGCCACTCAGAATTGGCATTGTAGAATTGGCCAATATTGCATGGCCATTAGGAAAGGCAACATTGCAGCCATTGTTTGCATGTCAGCCAGTTATAAGCACTCATGTTTAATGCTTTTATGGCTGTCCACATGGTTTTCAAAGAGCAACATGAACTAAAATCTCTTGACCTCAAAGATATTTTTATTTTCTGCCTAATTGCTTTGGAAGAACCAAAGATTTTCCCCTTTCCCCAAATCTAACGCCTAGGCATTACTGGCAATATTAATACTACAGGGTGCATGGCATGTGCATTTAAGTGATTTAAAAAAAATAGATTTTATTTTGATTTTGTTACATAGATGTTAATTTGTTTAGGACCAATTCGCAATCCAGTCAAAGTCTCTGAAATCTTCCTGCTCTTTTTCTGTAAGTTCCTTAGTCCCGTTTGGAGGTGTTAAGATGGGATCTTCTGATTTATACTCATCGAAATTCCTAACATCTTCAATTCCATCGATGGTTGGTATAAAGGGGGGCTTCACATTCTTAGCTAATAATTCATCCCAGTCTATCTCCTGTTAACAAATTAACAAATTAAACATTTTAGTGGAAGACAGTGGTTTCGACAAAGATAACAAATATGCATCATTAAATCATAAAATTAAGATGAAAAATATAGACTGGCAAAAATGTGAAAAACGAAATTCTACACAAGTTACAATGTAATTCACAAATCCATTATTAAAGTCAACGGATAGGATTACACGTGCATTCATTAGTGGAAGAAAGTAGTTTTGACAAAGATAAATAATTTGTATCACTGTGCTCCTACACATGCAAATACAGGTGACATTTTACATTGGCCGTTTAATGCCTTCACGGGCATGAATTTAATGCAAATATACATAAGTACATAAATTTAAATAAGCATCCAAATGAACTAATGTTTATTTAGGTGTTAGAATGTAGGTTTCCCCAGATGTGACATGTGACAATTTCACTTGGAACTAAAAACAAGATTGAGGTAGAATATACCATTCCCCTCTATATACCTATGGCTGGTAGATGAACAAAATGGACTTACTTGAAAGAATGGATTCCACTTTACATCTTCTGCGTCATATTCACTTGCCCCTAGACGGTCCTCTGGATTTATGTTGAGAAACTGTAAAAAACATATTTTTTTTTCTTAAAATGGCTCTTGGTATTTTGATTAAAATAAATAAATAAATTAAAACAAAATTGCAAGCACTTTATCCAGATAATGTACTGTCCTGATTACTATGATTCCTCTTGCTACTGTTTTTTTAATCAAAATGAGTCTCCAAACATAACATTATTCTGTATCTTTTTGTAGCTAGATCTGTATGTGTGTGTAACTGCCTGTCCCACACTCTTATAGTCAACCACACTGTGCTCTCTAAAATCCAAGTTAAAAACACTAAACGTGCATTGGCAACATACATCTTCGATTACATCGATGGTTTCTATAGACAGGACAGACATGAACTCCGGACAGCTGAATCTGCGATTGATGATGTTATTTATCTTTTCAAATTCATCTTCGCCGTCAAAAGGAGTCTAAAGTAAATAAAATAAAAATAAATAAATCTGATGAATTATCTTGTTGATAAACACACATTGGTATATAGTGTTTTGCTTGTCGAGTCAGGATTCCGTCCATTAATTCTTAATAAACTATTCTTACCACTCCTGCCAGCATTGTATATATTAGCACTCCCAGACTCCACCAATCCACAGCTTTGGTGTAACTTTCGTGCTTGAGGATTTCGGGAGCCATGTAATCTAGTGTTCCACAATGACTTGTGGTTCGTTCTCCATATCCGATTCCTCAGAGAGAGACAAAAGTTAATTATATTTAAATTGAAGATGTACATTCCCTGCCTTTAAAGTAACACTATAGGGTATTCCTGATCCAATAGTGTTAAAACCACCATTTAAGTGGTTTAACCCTCCCCTCCCCCACCCATAGCCTTTAGAAAGGGTTAAAACCTCTATCCAGCACCGCAAGGGTCTGCCAGAGCTGACCCCACCCCAATCCACCTCTGGCTAACATCAGAATTGATTATTTCAGCCAAGGAGGTGGGCTAGGGGCGGGGTCAAAAGTCGACCTGGCCAATCCCCATCTCCTCATAGAGATGCAGTGAATCAAAGCATCTCTATTAAGAACATGGAGATGCTGAACGACACTGCTGCACTCTGAGGAGTGGCCACTGGAGGTGTCCCTGGGCTTAAATGTAAACACCGCCTTTTCTCTGAAAAGTCAGTGTTTGCATGAAAATACCCGCAGGGCCTGTCTATAGGGACCGAACAACTACAATGAGCTGTAGTTGTTTTGGTGATTATAGTGTCCCTTTAAGTTACATGCCCGTACATCTGTCAGTTAGGCATTTGTGCATTAGAGCTGCTGAATATTTTTGTATAGTTTTTTTCTTGTTACATTTTTTTAAAGTAATTTCCTGAGATCTAATCCACATATTGGTTTGTTCAATGATCCCTTGTTACAAAGTATATTATCATTTGTGCTTTTGATATCTTTTTGTGTATGTACTTTTAATTATGTACAGAATTAGATTATGTTTGAATGTGGCTAAGTTTAAATGTGGGATTTATTCACAATTGTAATTTATTTTTTGATTACCTTTGTATGCCTGGCTATCCTGGCACAGCTAGGGCACACTATGTAAATTAACTTGCAATATGACCACTACAGTTCAGGTCCCTTCATGTGGTCTAAAGTCTGTTGGCGCCATATCCCAGTTTTATGTCAAACCATTTAGAATTAGTTTGAAACCAATTTTTGCTCTCCATATCCTCAACTGCCACATTGGTAATGTGGAATTAACAGTTCTGTATAATCATTGTCTAGATCTATTTCCCTTAGAGCATTTTGGCTATTTTTTCTACTTTAATATTGCATGTTTGTTTTTGTACTAAAATCATGTTTTGTGTTAAAATCGGACTAGATAAAAGGACCAAAAAAGCAATTTTGACATTTTCAAAGTCTTAATCGCTGTTTAGGAAACAAGCACACATTAGTTTTTATGCTGAATTTTAAGGATATAATTTTATATGTGTAAAGCCAGCACTGATGTTACAGAGGCATTCGTTAATTTATCAAATATCTATGTATAAATGTAAAATGATATCTACCTTCCTTACTAATACCGAAGTCAGTTATTTTTGCAAATCCTTCCTTATCCACAAGTATATTCTCTAATTTAAGATCCCTAGATTAAAATGCAGAAAAATGTTTTTAATAATGTTTACATAATTCTAGAGGACACTTGGATGCAGGTATTAATGGGTTTCCTAGTTTAGGCTTTTAAAAAGGTTACATTTAAAATCATAACATAGAAAAACAGGTTTAAGCACAGGCAGTGCTTTACACTTACCTGTGGATAATCTTTTGGGAATGCAAATATTCCAAGCCAAGCACAACACAAGCAGCATAAAATCTATGGGGAATAAAAGAAACGCGTTGGTTACTTTTAAGATGATTAAAAAATGCAATCTTTGTACTATTGAAAAGTTATTTTCCACAAATCCTTCATCACTCTATGGTCTGACATGGCGACTTTTAATGTAAGACTCTCAGCCAGTCCATATTGACTAAAGTTGGTTATGCTATTGCAGAAGTATAAAATTCTTCTGTTGTATAGAATGGAAAGACCGTGGGACCTGGACAGTCAGGTAAATGTAAAATAACGATTATCTTTCCCAATAATCTAACTAGACTCTATGGAATTTATTGCCTACCTCAATGCCAGCAGCTGCTAAACACTGCATTACAGGTTTAGAAATATGGGCACAATGCTGCCTATACTTACGTCGCTCTGGGCTCTGTTAATGCACCGTTGCTGTTGTAAACGTTTGTAACAAGGTCCCCGCCAGGAGTGTATTCCATGACAAAGCAGGCATGATGTGTGGTCTGGAAACAACCAAACAGGTTTACCAGAAATGGATGGCGCATGCTGCTTACAGATTGGAAAATGTGCTTCTCACTCATAAGACTGGATAAGGAACAATAAGTCAATTATTTCCCTGATCTCCAAAAAATCATAACAAATAAAATAAAACAGGATAAGGTATGAATAGCTCTGTTTACTAACCGGTGGACCTTTTTTGTTGAAACGATGTCTCCTTTTTTCAGGGCTTTTAGGGCATAGATTTTCTCAGTGTCCTTGTGTTCAGCAAGGAACACCTAAAATTAAAAACAAAGGTATGCGTGTGTTCTTATTTTGCATCAATTCATTCAGGTTTGGTACAGCAGAATTGTATTTTGTTTCTGCCCTGTCATTTTTATTTTGCTTCTTTCCTTTGAAGACTTTTTTTGTGTTTAGATCACAATTTTGGGGGTAGTCTGTATATAAAAAATACATTTAGCAAATCTTCACCTATCTTTCCGACAAACGTTTCCAACTACATCATTGTGGTGGATTTTTTGTCTGACAAAATTACAGTATCCAACTGACAAATTTTGCGATTAAAAATAAAATAAAAAAACAGACCTCTTTAGAAAAATGTACTGGCTTATACATATAAATGTAGCACATTCGTTAAATGTAGATGTTTTAAACACTTTGATACACAAACAAAACGCAAAAAAAATATTCTGTTCTAATGCATTTGCTAAGACACTTTTTCTCGAAAGAGTATTTGTATTCATGCTTAAACTTACTTTCCCGAATTTTCCTCTACCCAGCACACAGCGAAGATCGAAGTCTTCCAGGCTGAGTTGACATTCTGGCTCAATATTGCCAGATGCTGGAAGCACGCTGTTATCGGGTTCTTTTGTTGTTTCTGAGATTATGCTTAGCGACGTTAATTTATTAAAGCATGGATATTCATTGCTTGCTCCAGAATCCTAGGAAAAAAAACATACGCCATAATTTAAAGTTGTTATTTCCCCCCCCCCTCCGTGACAATTGTTGCCTTTGGTCCATGGGTTTGTAATGGTGGGTCTAAAACATTGATTAATAAATAAATGAAGTCGGGAATAGCAGACAAACGAAGAGGAAGCAGGGTATGTTGGAAAATAACTGGAGAAGCAATGTGTGTGGGAGAATTATGAAGAAGAAACAGAGGATGGAGTGATAAAGTGGTGGTGATTTTAGAGGCAAAGACTATAGTCATTAAAACTCCTGTATCTGATGCTTCAGGACAAATGGAAGAATTAAACCACCTACAAAATAAAATGTACATTTCACATATTGGGCTCTGGCTGTACTGATTGTATGTTTGACTCCTGATCATTATAAGTCGACATTGTTTACGAGCGGCAAATGAAGAATTAAAAACAAAAACAATGGTTGTGATAGTGGACAAAGATTGAGTGTGTTTACGTTTTTCACAATATCTCACAAATCATTTGCCAGGGATTATCAGGACTTCAGTAATCTAAATTTTCTTTAATGACTAGGTTTGCGTGAATGTGCAGGGAAAAGAACAAAACAAAAAAAAGCGTATAGCTTTACCTGAGCCGATATATCTGTTCTCTCAGTGTGTCCTGAAGACTGATGTTGATCACCATGTGCAGGTGTTGGAGATGGAATAAGAAGTGTCTCCAATGTTACATCAGTGACATCAGTTTCTGGAACTGATGCAGTTGTTTCACCCTAGAAAAAAAAGACATACACCATAAATTAAATTCCCCCCACCCCCTCTCCCCCAATGACCATTGTGGCCTTTGGTCCATGGGATTGTAATGGTGGGTCTGAAACATTGATTCATAAATAAATGAAGTCGGGAATAGCAGACAAACGAAGAAGAAGCAGGGGATGTTGGAAAATAACTGGAGAAGCAATGGGTGTGGGAGAATTATGAAGAAGAAATGGTGGATGGAGTGATAAAGTGGTGGTGATTTTAGAGGCAACGACTATAGTCATTAAAACTCCTGTATCTGATGTTTCAGGACAAATTGAAGAATTAAACTACCTACAAAATAAAATGTACATTTTACATATTAGGCTCTGGCTGTACTGATTATACGTTTGACTCCAGATCATTATAAGTCGACATTGTTTACAAGCAGCAAATGAAGAATAACAATCAAAAACCATGGGTGTGATAGTGGATGAGGTTTGCGTGAAGGTGTGGGGAAAAGAACAAAACAAAAAAAGAAGCGTATAACTTTACCTGAGCCAGTATATCCATTCTCTCAGTGTGTCCTGAAGACGGATGTTTATCACCATGTGAAGGTGTTGGAGATGGAATAGGAGGTGTCTCCAATGTTACATCAGTGACATCAGTTTCTGGAACTGATGCAGTTGTTTCACCCTAGAAAAAAAAGACATACACCATAAATTAAATTCCCCCCACCCCCTCTCCCCCAATGACCATTGTGGCCTTTGGTCCATGGGATTGTAATGGTGGGTCTGAAACATTGATTCATAAATAAATGAAGTCGGGAATAGCAGACAAACGAAGAAGAAGCAGGGTATGTTGGAAAATAACTGGAGAAGCAATGGGTGTGGGAGAATTATGAAGAAGAAACACTGGATGGAGTGATAAAGTGGTAGTGATTTTAGAGGCAGCGCCTAAAGTTATTAAAACTCTTGTATCTGATGCTTCAGGACAAATTGAAGAATTAAGCTACCTACAAAAATAAAATGTACATTTTACATATTGGGCTCTGGCTGTACTGATTGTACGTTTGACTCCAGATTACTATAAGTCGACAATGTTTACGAGCGGCAAATGAAGAATTAAAAACAAAAACAATGGGTGTGATAGTGGACGAAGAAGCGAGTGTGTTTACGTTTTTCACAATATCGCACAAATCATTTGCCAGGAATTATCAGGACTTCAGTTATCTAAATTTTCTTTAATGACGAGGTTTGCGTGAATGTGTGGGGAAAAGAACAAAACAAAAAAAGAAGCGTATAGCTTTACCTGAGCCAGTATATCCTTTCTCTCAGTGTGTCCTGAAGACTGATGTTTATCACCATGTGAAGGTGTTGGAGATGGAATAGGAAGCATCTCCATTGTTATATCAGTGACATCAGTTTCTGGAACTAGTGCAGTTGTTTCAACCTAGAAAAAAAAATACATACACCATAAATTAAATTCAGTAATCCCCCCTCCCCACAATGACAATTGTGGCCTTTGGTCCATGGGATTGTAATGATGGGTCTGAAACATATTGATTAATAAATACATGAAGTCGGGAATAGCAGAAAAACGAAGAGGAAGCAGGGTAAGTTGGTAAATAACTGGAGAAGCAATGGATGTGGGAGAGTTATGAAGAAGAAACAGTGGATGGAGTGATAAAGTGGTGGTGATTTTAGAGGCAGCGCCTATAGTTATTAAAACTCCTGCTTCAGGACAAATTGAAGAATTAAACTACCTACAAAATAAAATGTACATTTTACATATTGGGCTCTGGCTGTACTCATTATACGTTTGACTCCAGATCATTATAAGTAGTCATTGTTTACGAGCGGCAAATGAAGAATTACAAACAAAAACCATGGGTGTGATGGTGGACGAGGTTTGTGTGAATGTGTGGGGAAAAGAAAAAAAAAAAGCATATAGCTTTACCTGAGCCGATATATCCGTTCTCTCAGTGTGTCCTGAAGACTGATGTTGATCACCATGTGAAGGTGTTGGAGATGGAATAGGAGGTGTCTCCAATGTTACATCAGTGACATCAGTTTCTGGAACTGGTGCAGTTGTTTCATCTTTATTAATAAAGTTTTCTTGGTCAATCAGTGCCTGCAAACGTTCTATCTCATTCTCGATGTCTTCAAGCTTCTCCTGCAATGCCTCAAGATATTTAAGGTTTTCTGGAGGGCCTTTGGAATATGCCAGGAACATATTCTCTGCACCTCGCTTCACCTTAAGCTCAATTTCGAGCTGTTTTTGCAGTGCAGTTAAATTCCCATTGTCTGCATGGGCACTTGGGTCACCTTCAAGAGCAACTGAGGTCTTGGAAGTTACTGGAAAATTAGTAATAAGACAAAACGTAAATTAGAAATGCTGGCAGCTGGTACTATTCTGTCCAAGTTAAATTAAATAAAAAAATGTACGTAAGCTACTTTTGTTGACACAAAAAGCATCAATCTAGGATCTAAAGTAATTTTTGCTACACAAACCCGATAGTCACGGGTGTAGCGTGGGCTGGGCCACAGGGCCGCTTGCCCTGGGCGCAAAATTCTTTGGGGTCCTAAAGTTCAAAAGAAAAAAAAGAAAGGAGTAGTAATACATTTTAAAAAATAGCGCGCCCTCCCAATCACCCAGAAAATCTCCCAATGTTAAAACATTATACAGTTTTTCAGCATGACAGGGCAAATAAACATCACTACATCACATTTTACAGTAGTTTTCTTGTTAATCACAGCCATACTGTCCTTCTGCAGTTCTTATCGGTGAATTACATAATGCCTATTAATAACGTGATTTCCTGTTTAAAGATAACACCAGAAATCACTCTTTAATAGGCATTATGTAAATGCCCATTACATGCTATCATAAAAGTATGCCAGTAACGGGCGCCTAGATATTCTCACTCCTCTTCCCTGCCCGCCTCATCTCCATGATGTGTGTGTGGCACTGATAGATATGTTGCGTCATTTTTAAAATCCACCTCACGCCTAAAGTAATGTGTATAGACTAGGGTTAGAGGGTGCAATACATGCCTTGCCACAGGTGCTGACAATCCATGTTATGCCACTGCCTATACCACCCGTTATCCTGCACCAACCCTGTTAACTCTACATTCATTCTAACAGTACACTACCCTAGCCTTAACCCTATATTATCCCTAACCCACCCTTTAACCTCACCCTACACTAACACTGAGAAAGCCAGGTAGATTTTGGCCTGCATCCATTAGCTATCAAAAGTGGCAGGATTGCAGCTAGTACCTGTGTGGGTGTTAACTTGCCTTACTCCTTCCCAATGAGCGCTATTAATTATGTAAGAGAGTAACAGAGTTATATCACGAGGTATGCCACTCATTCATTTTAGAGGAACTGTTAAATTTCCCAAATAGAGGAGAAGAGATAGTAGACATGTAGCAAAGGCAGTGTTGCAGAGAATGTAACACCAAACTGGAACCGAACATGTCGGCTCTTATCAGACTGTAGGAGGGTAACGCGGCAAGTTAAAGACTGGTTCAGTCTCCATGGAGGTAGATATAAACATTTTATAATGTACCTGAACGTTCCTCTGCTCTTTGCTCAACATCATCAGATTTATTGCGTCTTGTGCGCTGAAAAGACAGAAACAAAATCAGAAAACAAAAACCATTTTGCAAGAACGTTGCAAACACTTTGATGAAACAAACTCAGCATATATAGAGTCCATTCCCTCGCTGCCACATGGGTCTGTGATACAGTTTAAATTATTATAAGTGACCTCAAATACAGACATTAGTTTACTTAAAGCAAGATACCACTAAGATACCGTAGTAATTATGGCACCCCTCCAAACCATATTCTTAATGGTATTACTTATTCTCTGGGGTTCTCAATTCATTGTCCCACAACTCCTCTCAGCTTTAGGCTCCTTGTCAATATATATCCCAAAACAACAGTGCACATGTACCATATACTATTATTATAATTATTAAATTCTAATCGCATCTACAATTAGCCGTAGAGACCGAGAAAAAATAGCTCCCACCAAAATGTATTTAAAGAGTTTCTTTATACACCAGACCACTTCAGTTTGATGAAGTGGTCATGGTGTTTGAAGTCTGTATGCACAGCATTTCGGTATAAATACAGAACTATGTTATAATTCTGCTGTGTACGTTATTAGTACGCCATTAGCCAGTACCTTTAAGTGAAATGGTGGGCTTATGGCTACAAATGTATTTAACTATAAAGAACAAAGTAAAATGGGGAGTCCATAGGCTTCCATGGGAATTTAAACATAAAATATTAAGTTAAGGGGTTCATAGAACTAGTGTTGTTTGGGTTAACATTTTAGAGCTCCCAGTTAATGGTAAGTAAATTGGTAACCTTTGGTCCATTTCTAGAGGCTAACTAATACAGAGAGAATATTTCCAAGCTCTTTTCAGTTTATTTTAAAATTTACATCTACTTGCTGTTTGGTGAATAAACGTCTTAGTGATTTAGGCTACCGTTGTCTTATAGCATTTGAATATTTTTAGTTTCCTTTGTAGTATATATGCTAAAACTACAGTGCACATGCACCATGTACTAGTATAATATAATTTGAAGCATTCTAATTCTAATCACATGTACTATTAGCTGTAGGAAAGATAGCTCCTACCAAAATGTATTAAAAAAATTCCTTCAAGCACCTTACCACTTCAGTTATATGAAGTGGTCATAGTACTTGAAGACTGTATGCGCAGCATTTCAGTAGAACTATTTAATAAGGCTGCTGGAGGTGTACATTATTAGTACGTCATTAGCCAGTACCTTTAAATGAAATGGCTTATGGCTTAAACACGTTTTAAAAATATATTTAACTTCCTCATTTTGTAATATTGTAAACTGCTGCGATATAAGCTGGCGCTATATAAATGCCAATAATAACTTTAAAGAACAAAAAAAAAAAAAAAGGGAGTCCATAGGCTGCCATGGGAATTTAAACATAATATAATAAGTTAAGGGGTTCATAGAACTAGTGTTGTTTGGGTTAACATTTTAGAGCTCCCAGTTAATGGTAAGTATAAGAAACAAAGAAATCTACTTACTTTTCTAAAGCACAAGCATCGGAAACAAGAGAAAATATTTCTCGCTTCCATTTTTAGTTACTTGATCACTACAAAAGCTAAGCAGTGTCGACTGTCCAAGCAATGTCTAGTGAATACTGTGAACTGTGGTCATCAGGCATGATGCTGCAATGATGTCACTATGATGTTACACAGGTCACAGGTCCACACCTCACCAGCGTGTCATAATACACAATCTATCAAATCTGATTATTGAAGAATCTATGTTTAAATATGGATATACTATATTATTATATAACATTTAGCGGTCCATTCATTAAACTGTGAATTGTAATACATTGAAAAAACAACATGAAAGATCTAGACTAAAATCTAGGGGACACATTGGTAACCTTTGGTCCATTTCTAGATCTAATAAAATAGTTTAGCTTTGTAGTGACAAGAAAACAAGAGTCTAATGCACACTATAAAAAGGAGTACTTCCTGCATGGTGCTCTAGAAAGGGAGAGAAGAAAGGAATATTATCCTTTTATTAGGAACAAATATAGTGGAGACAACGATTTTGTTTTACACACTAGTGTTTTGGGGTGTTGACTCTCACCAGTTTTTACATATTAGAAATGGATCATTAAAAGTTAAGTTTTAATATTCACGCATTAAGGTTGCACGTTAAAGGGACTCTCCAGTGCCAGGAAAACAATCCATTTTCCTGGCACTGCAGGTCCCCTCTCCCTCCCACCCCAGATCCCCGGTTGCTGAAGGGGTGAAGGAATGGATCCACAGATTGAAACGTTAGTACCTTTGCATCTTGGATTTAGATACTTTGGCATTTATGGAATAGTCATAATGTTTTAAAGGGTACTTATTTTAGATTCACTTTTTTTCTTGTGGTAAATATTATTTGGTTGAAACATAAGACTTTGTTGAACCTGTCAATAAAACAGCAAGGGACTTGCATGTCCTAAATACACGTATTTGATAAAGGCCTCTGTGTAGGCCTTTTTGTTCCAATAGACCTGCCTTTCTGCAGCAATCCTGAGTGACTGGACCTAATTTATTTTACCTTCTAAACTGGGTTTTGCCAACCCTGGCCCTGATAAGCACCTGGATTCCCAAGTGTGAGTGCGGTATCCTCCGTCTGTGAATTACTAAATATACATATGCCAAATAGAGAACACACAAGTCTTAACATAGACATGATTTTAAATTCACTGAGTGATAGTTATTTTTGTCATATACTTTTTTTTTTCTTAGATTTCAGATTTAGCAGGTCCTAACTGTTCAGTCAAGAGGATTTTTTTTTTCTGTTTTTTTATTGAGACATTGTATTAGGCAATACAGAATACAGAGAGAAGTATCATGCAAATATACAGACATAAATAATGCAGAAGATGTATATACTCCTGATCAAACAGTGTCATATCGTTTGTTTGTTTTTTGTGAAATAAACAAATGTAAAAACATGCTGAACATACAAGAGTAAAAGCAGGCTAGTTCCAGTAGCTAAAACATGTAAATACCTCAAGGTTGATAGGTAAGTGTGACAGACCCATCTGGATGGACTAAAAGTACTGTGTTCGTCTGTTTTGCATGAATTTCCCCATTCGTATGCTTTGTTTAAGGGAACGTCGGTTTTTGTCGAACGGAACTACCAAACGGACAGCCACCCAGAAGAGAAGTGTGCTGCTGGTTAACCTATTGATCCCAATTAGATCGTTGCGGTTAACCACAGACACTTCTCAATTAAAACCGAATACTGGGTGGTCAGACAGCACCACCGGCAGTGTGTGAAAGTAAACGGGAAGGAGGTCAGTGGTCTACGGGATACCGGGACAACCATGACATGGCTCCAGAAGCACCTGGTATCCGAAGCCCAACATACTGGGGACACGGTCGCAGTGCGAGTAGCCGGGGGTGCCGTGTTTCGTCTACCCATTGCCCGGGTACATTTGGATTGGGGAGTGGGCGCTAGACATGTGAATGTGGGGGTCATGAAGGACTTAAAAGCGGATGTCCTCCTTGGCAATGACTTGGCACCCCTTGTTTCCGCCTTTGCTCCCATGGGGCCCGCTGAAGTGGATGCTGTCATGACCCGTGCCCAGACCCGTGCCGACGAATTCGGCCCACCTGCTGCTGAGACCCAGGTAAGACTCTCTACCCCGACTTGTACCTTAGACCAGGCCCCTTTAGGCTGGGATACCCCAGAGATGTACGGGAAGGAAACCAGGGAAGACCCGACGCTAGCGAAGTACAGGGCCAGGGCCGACTCTGGGGGAGAAGGAGTAGATGGGGAGCACTACGAGTGGGTGGGGGATAGACTGTACAGGATCCCGAAACCGTCCCAGAAGCTGAGTACCACTCCGCAGAATCGACAGCTAGTGGTACCTGCAAAATACCGGCAGGAGATTCTGCGGATTGGGCATGATGTGCCGTTAGCAGGCCATCTAGGTTCCCGCCGCACAGCACATAGGATCACACAAAACTTCTTCTGGCCCAATTTTAACCGAGATGAGCGGGTTTATTGTAGCACGTGTGACACCTGTCAATGGGTAGGTGTAACGAAATCCCCTATTCACAGCCGTCACGAACAAGCCTGTTCGGTTATTTGGAACATTACCATAGGATTTCGTGAAATTGTCAAATAAGGCGAACAAACTACCGAACCACCGACCTCCCACTGAGGTCGTGTGGCGCTCATTGACCACCCTGACTGTTGCGGTTAACCACAAACTAATTGGTATAGCGGGTGGTCCGCGTTCACCTCCCGAACACGTGGCAATCGCCATTTTGGTTTTGTCGAACGCGCAGCGGCAAATGGCGAGGATTCCCTGGAACTGATTTCAGCGACCTATTTTGTCGAACGCCGCTGCTACCTTCACCCATCCTCGTTCATACGGTGGAACCATTCGAAGGAAGGGATAATAGTTCATTCGCGCATTAAAGTATGCGAACGTGGCTGACCCCAGATAGCTATAATAGAGGACTGGCAATCGGCTACAAATACACGAATGGCCAAGGACAGCCAAACTTCAGTCGACGATTCTGGGACCTGTGTTCGTGGGATCTGAGCGCTATTCGCCTAGAATATGCACTCAGATCCAAGCTATCTGGGGATGTGTGGAACTTAAAGTTTATGTTATATAAAAAGAAAGTTATGTATTTTTATTCTGTTTTTGCTAAATATAAAAAGGCATGTTTCTTTACTTCTGGAGATAATTACAGCCCTCTTTGCTACCTTAATCTAATTATCTCCAGGATGGGAAAGAAGGAGTGATTTGTGTAAAGGGGAGTGTTTATCCTATAGCCACTGTGATTGGCTACTGTATTACTTCTGTCCCAGTCTTCCATCTGGTCCCCTAGGGGAGTGTCCACCAGGTGGAAGACCTGCATAAATTCCGGGCGGGTAGCCCACAGTAAATCAGATCGTTTTACCCCTTCATGAAGTCTCGACTCATGTTTGGGGAATTGGAAGCTATAATCACTCTGTTCCAGCGGGATTTCGGGAGAAGCTGCAAGGATCATCGCTGCACGTATGCAGGGATCCTTTACAGTAGGTAAGCGGGGGGATCACCCAAAAGCTAGGCTTCAGTCGATGCCTATCATTGGAGAACCCTTTCCCCGCATAGCCGTTGACATTGTGGGTCCACTGGCCAGGGCTAGCCCATCAGGTAAGAAGTATATTCTCACCGTGGTGGACTATGCCACACGTTATCCAGAGGCAGTAGCGCTGTCTAATATAGAGGCAGAGACGGTTGCTGATGCCCTGGTTAAAATTTTCACTAGGGTCAGGTTCCCTCAGGAGATTCTCTCCGATCAGGGAACTCAGTTCACCGCTGTGCTTACCCAGCAGCTGTGGAAGGTGTGCGGTATTAAACCTCTGCTTAGCTCACCGTATCACCCACAGACTAACGGTCTCTGTGAGCGATTTAATGGCACCCTCAAACAGATGTTGAGGACCTTTACTGACACTTGCAGGGACTGGGAGCGATTCCTGCCTCATCTGCTATTTGCATACAGAGAGGTGCCCCAGGAATCTACTGGGTTCTCCCCTTTGAGTTACTCTATGGGAGAAGGGTCCGTGGACCCCTAGATCTCATTAGAGGACACTGGGAGGGGGAGACAGAGCAAGAAGGGACCCCCATAGTACCATATGTTCTGGAACTCCGGGACCGCATGGAGAAACTATCCCTGATGGTAAGGGAGAATCTCCAGGCGGCCCAGGGGAGACAGAAACAGTGGTACGATCGGGGTGCCCGACAGCGGGTCTTCCAGGTTGGGCAGAAGGTTCTGGTACTCAAGCCTGTGAAGACGAACAAGATGCAAGCATCTTGGCATGGCCCGTATAAAGTGTTAGCTCAGGTATGTGATACTACCTACCTTATAGCTAGCTGTTCAGATGAAAGGATTCAGCGATCCTTCCATGTGAACATGCTGAAGGAGTATCAGGAGAGACCAGAGGATGTTGCTGCAGTATGTGCCCCAGCTACTGACGACCCCGAGAACTTACCTTTACCTGACTTGTTAGAGAGGGATCCCCAGACAGACCTTACTAGTCTTGTATAGCTGGGGGACCGACTAAACCCGGCAGAGAAGGTACAGGCAAAGCAGTTACTGTGGGAGAAGCAGGCAACGTTCTCCCAAGAACCCGGGTACACTACCCTAGCTGTACACAAGGTCGAGACACCCGGACAGAACCCCCTACGACAACCCCCATACCGTATCCCTGAAGCAGTCCGAGAAGGAATGCGGAAGGAGATACAGGAGATGACCAGACTGGGGGTTATCGAACACTCAGACAGCCCTTGGGCCTCGCCTGTAGTTCTGGTGCCTAAGAAAGATGGGACCACCCGGTTCTGCGTGGACTACAGGTGGCTCAACGAGCGGACCACCACTGACGCCTACCCTATGCCCCGGGTAGACGAGTTATTAGACCGTATTGCCAGGGGGCACTACCTGACCACCATTGACCTGTGTAAAGGTTATTGGCAGATCCCCCTGGCCGAGGATGCTATCCCTAAGTCGGCATTCGTCACCCCATTTGGCCTGTACCAGTTTAAGGTTATGCCATTTGGGATGAAGAATGCTCCGGCTACTTTCCAGCGTATGGTGGATAGGCTCCTCGATGGCTTCCAGGACTTTGCATGTGCATACCTGGATGACATTGCGGTCTACAGTGAGTCCTGGGAAGACCATTTAGTACACGTGGGGGTGGTGCTGGACAAGATTCGGGCCGCAGGCCTGACCTTGAAGCCAGACAAATGCCATCTAGGCATGGCAGAAGTACAGTACTTGGGTCACAGAGTAGGATGTGGAAGCCAGAGACCGGAACCAGCCAAGGTAGAGGCTGTAGCTAACTGGCCCACACCTATCACCAAGACCCAAGTGCTGGCCTTCCTGGGGATGGCAGGGTATTACCGACGTTTTGTCCCCGACTACAGTACGGTTGCCAAGCCCTTGACTGACCTGACTAAGAAGAATTTACCTAAGCAGGTCCTGTGGTCTCCAGCTTGTGAAGCCGCGTTTCAAGCACTTAAGCAGGCTCTTGTGAATACCCCTGTCCTGGCTGCCCCAGTCCCTAACAAACGTTTTCTTGTTCATACAGATGCTTCCATGTATGGACTGGGGGCTGTGCTGAGCCAGGTCGGGGAAGATGGAGGAGAGCACCCTGTCGCATACTTAAACAGAAAGTTACTACCTCGGGAAGTGAGTTATGCGGCAGTGGAGAAAGAGTGTTTAGCCCTGGTCTGGGCACTGAAGAAATTGAGCCCTTATTTGTACGGGCAGGAGTTTTCCCTTATAACAGACCACAATCCCCTTGTCTGGCTTAACCGGGTCTCAGGAGACAATGGCAGACTGCTGAGGTGGAGTTTGGCACTGCAGCCTTACAACTTCACCATCAGCTACCGACCCGGTAAGCAGAATGGGAATGCCGATGGGTTGTCCCGGCAAACAGACGTCCCTACTCCTTCTCAGTCCGGTCATCCCCAAGTTGACCCGCCAAAGGGTCAAGCCGGGTCTGCCGGAGTGTTCCACAAGGGGGGAGCTGTGTGACAGACCCATCTGGATGGACTAAAAGTACTGTGTTCGTCTGTTTTGCCGGTTGCATGAATTTCCCCATTCGTATGCTTTGTTTAAGGGAACGTCGGTTTTTGTCGAACGGAACTACCGAACGGACGGCCACCCAGAAGAGAAGTGTGCTGCTGGTTAACCTATTGATCCCAATTAGATCGTTGCGGTTAACCACAGACACTTCTCAATTAAAACCGAATACCGGGTGGTCGTCGTTCGTATGTCGACCACGAGGCGGCGGCCATTTTAACCATGCGAAAGACCAGCGGTGTTCGGTTATTTCATGGAACTGAAAACGGACACTTTTTCAACCGAACACCGCTGAAGCCGTCGACCTCCCTTCTCAATCGACAAAGTGTGCGAACACCGGCCGTTCGGGAGATTCAAAAGGCACGAATGGACTTACCCAGATAGCCTTCCCATGGAGTCAATCGCATACCGAAGAACTGTAATAGACTTTGACTCCATGGCGATTGAACTATGCGAATGGGATCTGAGTGCTATTCGCCAATAATATGCACTCAGATCCAGGCTGGGGATGTGTTACACGAATGCAATATGTTCGGCAGTTATAAAGTTATGTATTTTTATGTGTTTTATGACTTGTACATAAAATGGCGATTTGCCTCTGCTCTGGGAGATAATTGAATTACTTCCCAATTATCTCCCGAGCAGAGGGGAGGAAACTGTGATGCATGCTGGGAATATTGTGGGGATGTATGTCCAAAATGTCCCCATGTCCTTCTGTCATTTCAGTCTCCCATTTGGTCCCCTAGGGGAGTGTCCACCAAGTGGGAGACCTGCATAAATACCGGGCAGGTAGCCCACAGTAAATCAGTTCGTGTTTTACCCTCAAAGCAGAGCTTGGTCTCGTTATTGGGGGGATTGTATTACCGGCGCCTAGAGACTGCTTATTGGGATTATTGGCCGCTTGGAAGATATTGGCGTTCGGCTAATATTGTCAGTTCGTGGATTTGGAGTTCGTGAAGGGAAAGAGCCATACAGGTACCGTTCGGGAGTTTGGAGTGTTCCCTAGCTGGCGGTTTGCATAGCTATACTGCATACGCTACCAGACCACATTATTGTGAACGGGGAGCATTCACCAAACGGCGGTTTGCACATTTATTACTGGAGGTACCGTAACAGTAAGGTTATAGCAGTCAGGTCACAGTACTAGGAGTTAGGTCACAGTGTTAACTACACTATGAGATATCAGCCAAACTGCCATGAATGCCCCTATGCCCTTCAATTACAAAAAAAACTGTTTTTAGTAATTTAAGTGTAGGGGTTACCCCCCATTATAATTTAGCAACCTCATATACTCTCTCTACTTCCTGTCTCTCTATCTTTGCAGCCCCTATGCCCTTCAGCTAATGCCCGAAGATGTAGAGTCACAGCCCCCCCTCTTTACAGTGTTCTCAGAGAAGCCCCCACAAGGAGCCCCATCCGCCAGAAGGTCCGCTTCGATCAGCTCCAAAAAAGTTATCATGTCTGCAGAAATTGCTTGTGTCTGCGGTGTTGTTCCCCCTGTGCGCCTGGGCCGGTCCCGCTGGGAGTAAAGGGGCTTGTTCATCTGCAGGCAAGGTAAGCGGTAGTGAGCAGACAAGCGTGTATTGCTTTGCTGTGGAGACGCGTGGTAGAGATATATGTACTTGGAAATGGACCACAGGACAGCTCTGGGGGTTCATCAACAGGAAAGTAGGCGAGTTCCCTGCCGTAGAGCTTCCCACAAAATAGATAGCCGATGCGTTCAACTGCCAGGAGTATTGGTTCCACAAACGTGGGTGGTGTGCTCATGGCAAGTCTGGGGTAGTGACCATTTTGGATGATAGGCCTCAACCCCTGAACTGGCGGTAAAGTAGCAAAACCTGGTGAGGTGGATGTATCAGAACACTAGTGAGCAGGGCCGGACTGGGAATAAAAAGCAGCCCTGGAAAAATCTTATACCAGCCCTATCATTAATTGTGCCAGCTGTGACAGATATACAGTTACAATTATTTAACCAACAAGAAGGAGCACACTCTTAAATAAACTTAAAATAAAAAAAAGAGCTGTTTTATTCTAATCACATGTGCAACATCTTACTTCAACGTTTCATCCTTATAATTTTGAAAGGTCCAGTAATGGGAATGAAACATTGACTGAATGCTGCTGCACGTCTGATTTAAATAAATGTTATTTTGTTTAGTCCTCAGTCCTATGAGTGCACTCTTCGTTGTATGTAGTTTGGCAGGGTTATCCACTAAACTAATAATTTTTGTGAATGAAAAATGTAAATTGTCAAATTTAGGCTACAATAGTCAAGCTGTCACTATACCCAATTTGAAATTTTGTTTAAAATCCGCTATTTTGGTTTAAATTATGAAATTTAGATTTTCACTTTTTAAAATTAAAAATATTAGTAAAAACCCTTCGGCAAATGTCAAACCCTTCTTACATTATATATATATATATGTGTGTGTGTGTGTGTGTAATTTCCAAGTCTATTATGGATTAATATATTATATATTATATATTATAAACATAATAATTAATAAAATTATGCTTGTGATATATATACATTGTTGTGGACAGAATATTAACACTACTAAATTCTTGTAAAATGCCTATTTACCCAATATTAATTGTAAACTACTTAAGATGACCGCTAGGGAGTTTCCCCTGTCATCGACTAACACCCTCAATTAACAAGATGGTGCTGGAATCTGGAGGAGAGCTCCATGAAGTCAGTGACGTCACACCCGGTAGGATGAGCAATTGATGAACCACTTAACACCTAACCAATTATTGATGTATTTTCTTCTGTTATCTATAATTATGCATATGATGTGTTACTGCCTTATAAAGGGCCTACCAGCCCCCCGGAATAAATATTCCTGACTTTTTCATTAACCTAGAAACTTGTGTCTGGTGTGAATTACTCAGGAAGCGTGCACGCACTATCTAATTGATTTGGAAAGGGGCAGATACACAAATTTATCAAACCTTTGTTTTGATCCACGACAATATTGGCGCCCAACGCGGGGCACCACAGATTCCCCGGACCGGAAGGCCGGAAAACGGGACCGGAGCGGACCCCCCGAAACGGGACCGGAAATTGATCACCTCCAGAGATATATACGTAATTACCTATATTTTCCTGTGTTGTGTTGGTCTACCTCCGGGTCCATTCCGGCCTCCAGAAGGCAACAGAGACAGGTAAAAGTTCTTGCCCGGTGCCTCTTTATAAGAACCTGTCGATTGTCTACCTGCCTCCTGAGTGTGAGTTTTGAGTGTGGAAGAGTCTGTTTGGGTGTTCATTCAGATTTATTGCATTATTTTGATTTTATTGTCTAGCTTGACTGTTTGGAGGAAAGGGAATTGCATCCGCCTTAAAAGTGATGGGAATGTTTGTTATTGTCTAGCTTAACTGTCTGGAGGACAGGAAATTGCATCCGCCTGAAAAGTGCTGGGAATTTTTGTTATTGTCTAGCTTGACTCTCTGGAGGACAGGGAATTGCATCCGCCTGAAAAGTGCTGGAAATTTTTGTTATTGTCTAGCTTAACTGCCTACGGGGCAGGGAATTGCAACCGCATGAAAAGTGCTGGGAATTTTTGTTCTGTTCAGAGAGGAACAGGGTTTTGTTGATTAGTGTTGATATGTTTGCTCCATTGGTTTTTCTCATTGTATTGTGGTTATTACTCAGCTGGGATTGTAGTGTGTGTGTTTTGGTTACTTCAGTGAGCATTGTGTGGTTTGTACTTGACTCAAGACTTTGTGCACATATCTACATCTGTGATTCTTGTAAATGAATTATTAGCATTTCCACCTTCACCTTCTCTCTCATCCTTTTTCTCTTCTGTACCTTTGACCCAGAGCAGTGTTAGTCACCCACTACTCGCCTCGCTCCGCTCCATGACCACCATCTCGGGTGGGCGGATCCTGTGACTCGTCTACGTTTGGGGAACACGCACGCAGATTCATTTTTTCGTGGCATTCGAGCACTGTAGACATTTTTGTTCCTGTTTTCAACCCTCTATCTCTCTTTGAAGGGATACCTGGTATATTGAGAATGGGACAGGAATATGCTAAACCCTGGAAAGGGTACTTAGCTTGGGATTTGGTAAAGGAAAGGGCTGGTGAGGAGGCTATGCTTAAGGTGAAAAAGATCTCTAAGATCTGTGGTGTTTCAATGTCTCCCAGAGGCTATTTACAGCCTGAGTTTTGGAGGAAGTTGTTGAAGGATAAGGAGGGATTGCTACTTGATAACGGGTTGACTAAGGCCGCAGAGGCTTGGTATCATGTGGCAAGAGGCCTTAAACGAGAGGGTTGGTTTGAGGAGGAATTGGAATTTGCTGGACAGAAAGTTTATGTGTACTATGAAAATGTTTGTACTGATGATTCAACTCCCGATGTTCCCCGGCCACCGCCCTATGATGGCGACCGACATAACGATGAGAGTAACCCCACCCCCACGTCCACTGCCCAACACGCCCTCTCACATACTCTAACTGACACCGCCCCCTCAACGCCGCCCACCCCATTGTAACCTGTCCATGGAGTTGATGGCTCGTATTATTACCCAGTCCCCATTCCCCCTCCCACCCCTGTACTTGCTCCTTTTCCCTCCGCCCCTCCTTTGATTCCCGGCTCAGTTCCACTTCCCGCCCCAGTATCTGCTCCACCTCCCGTACCTGCCCCTGTTTTGCCTTTCGTTCCCGTTTCCACTCCTCCTCCTACTTCCGTCCCTGTCCCTCCTCCCGTCACAGCTCCCGCTCCTCCTCCTTCCATTCCCTCCCCCGAACCACCTCCCTGCGTCATCCCCGTCGTCCCTACCCCTGCTCCTCCCCTCCCACTCGCCCTGTTTGTTCCCTCCCCATATCCATCTCCCGCCCCTGCATCCTCTGATGTATCGCCCTTTGCTCCCGCCCCTTCCGCCTATGTTTCCCCTGATGTTCAGTCTCCCGTCATGGTCTTCACTTCCCCTCCCAGCACCCTTCCTACCGCCTCCTCCTCCGTCCCCGCACCCATGATGGCGGCCCCAGCTGTCCCATCATGACGGAAAAAAATATAAAGGTCCAAATAGTGTTGTAGCGGAACACCAATATAAAATCCACGAATTCCGCTGGTTCAGAAACGAATCCACAGTCAAGCGCTGAAAACACCAAGGCAATATCCCCAACCTCCCAATAACCGGACGAGACACAGTTTTGTGAGTCAACTGAAATCCTTTAATCGGCACGACAATTTATACAAGTCCCCATGCAAGGGGTTTCCTGAGTTCCTCCCCAGGGGCACTCCCAGAGGGGACTACATGGGGGACTTACAGTACAACATATTTCTCCCATCAGGCACCGCTGCACGAGAGGGATCATCCTCCCAGAATGCACCGTTAAGGGGATTATCCCCTCGTGCAGCAGAACCGGCAATTCACACAAAAATCTATAACTTTTAAATACACGGTGGATTTACACGAATGGACGTTCGGTAGATAGCTGGGGTCTGGGCGCATCATTCGTGAGATTGCCGCTCAGATCCCAGCTAAAATAACCGAACGCCGCACAGAAAACACATTTCTTTCAAAACACACGAAAAGAACCGATTACTTTTAGTGAACCTGGTCCTGAAACTCCCGAACGTCCTGGAGGCTCAGCGGTGTTCGTGCCGTCGAATAACTATTGGTAATGCTATGCGTTCGACGACACGGACCCGCTGAAGAACAAGGGATCCAAGATGGCCGACCGCCGCATGGTCGGTAGTCGAACGACGGCCACCCAGGAGAGCCTCTAATAACCGATTGCAACAATGTTGCAATCGGTTAACTAGCGCCACACGCCTCTAAGTGTGTGGGCTATTAGGGGGTATCGCGTTCGGTTCACGAACGGCTTTCTAAAGTGCCGTTCGTGAAACGAAGGAAAATCCCCATACAAAACCGCCATTTGCATTCGGCGGAAACAGCAGTACAGGCAATACAGAAAATACATTAACATCTACATAAGTGTAAAGCGCATATCTCGCCCGACCTATTGGCAACCCTTAAAGGCACAGTCTCTAGTTATTGTCCAAGTGGCTAGGTTTGCCACAATGCTCCCCCAGAACCAAGCCGGCATACACAGTCTGATCAGGGCCAGATTAAGAGCCCAGTGGACCTGGTGCTGACAATTATGACGGGCCTAATTACAGAATCATATTGACCAAAAACAGTAAAACACTCCCAAGCGTCATGTATCTGATGAAGATGGTGCTGGAGAGAAAGAAAACAGCAGCTATAAGAAAAACACATACCCTAGGCTAATCTCTCTCTAATTTATGTTTTCATCTTTCAAGTAAATCCATAACCCCTAACAGCAGTGTACAGTCAAGCAGGAAGTCAATGGGCATGGTAAAAGGGTGTGCCATTGACACAAATCAGGTAACCTGCCAAAAGGGGCGAACATGCCCAAAAAGAGGACATGTCTGCCCAAAGAATTAGATAATAACTGTCTACATGAAATAATGGTCACAAACATTAAATGACAGTGGTACACACTGCGTGCACATAACATTACAGTGGCAAACTACAGGTATCAATTGTAACAACTCTATATAGGCAT